CAGGGCGGACTGAGCCGGCCACAGACACACAAAATGTAGGCATGAAAACATGGACCGAGACCAGGGCCAACTCTCAATGGCAGGCACACCACTCTGAGTAATGGCTTCGTTTCTCCCTGCTCAACTGAATGGATATACCCTGTATTACCAAGGAGCATGGAGCTTTGGTCTTTGGCCCCAGGTACTGATGGAAAAAAAACTTAATACATAAATCAAAGGCCACACTGAATCGATTAATCTATCTATCTATCTATCTATCTATCTATCTATCTATACTATTCACTTTGTGACTTTATTCATCTCATTCTAGTCTAATGTTTGGAAGTAAAAATGGTCTCAGAAAGAGGAATAACTACATTCAGAAGTTAATAATTACATCTCACACCATTAATATCCTGATGATATAATGTAATATTTTACAAGTTTTTTAAAAAGCCAATTTTGCTAGCAGATTAATGCAATCATTGTTCATAAAATCAAGCAAGTAGTGGGCCATTGTTGCTGCCTATGCCTTTATTCTTCAAGCGTATTAGACTCTTGTGACTTCTTGGTAAAATTCTATGTTCTAAGATACATTTTCCTTGTTATACCAGCATGCAAATTAAGTAAATGAAGAACTATTTTTCCTATATTAGTATAAGAAGAGAGTTCTTAGCTACCAAGCAAGTTAATAATACACTAAAGGCACTCATTCTCTTAGGTGTCATTCAAATGAGGAAAGTAACTAACATTGAGCAAATTACAGCATCTCCATCCAAACGCAGCAAGTGCTAGAAGGGAGTGAAGGATGGACACCGACGATGCACTGGTTAAACAGCACATACTCGCCACGTTGAGCTTTCACGCCCCTAGTGCAACATTCATCTGCTACGAGGAAGGGAAGGCTTCCTAGCAAGGTTATTCTACTTGTTAATACGACACAGAAGCAGAAGGAGCTCTACAGTATGTCTCTCTTCTTGGAGACTAACAGGTTAGTTTCTCTAGGTAGGGCAAGCAGCAGAAGTTAGAGTCGATTAGGTGCTCTGCGGGGCTCTGCACGGCGTAGGACGCACATACGTTACCTCAGGACTTCCACTTTCTGCTGCATTTCGCTGCACGTGATCTGCAGGTCATGCATCATGGCCTTCAGCTCTTCCTCCTTCTCCGCTTGGCAAGGGACATCTCTTTGCTTAACTAAGGTAGTGACCCGCTCTCTCAGCTTCCTAGTCAGCTCCTGCAGCTTTTGTTTCTCCATTTCTAACTCTGCTATTGTGGCCTGACGTTGAAAATGTTTGTCTTGAAGTCCTAGGAGAGCAGAGTTTTCCTCTAAGGTAACTGGATTCTGTATTCTGGGCTTTTCTTGATGTGTCTCAATGGTTCTATGTACCCAGGCAATTTCATGCGTTTTTACTTTTTCCAAGAGCCGTGTGCTTCCCCGCTCAAGGCACTGGTTTTCTTGTTCACATTCTTCTATTATGTGACGCACACTTGTCACCTTGGGTATGCACTTTTCCAGTCTCTGACTGACTTCTACAACCTGTTCTGCAGGTTCGACCTCCAGGTTGTCCAAACGGGCTTCCCACAAGGAGAAGGAGTCACGACGCAGGATGGCCCTTTTCTGAAGTTCCTCAATCTTCCCTTGAAGCCTCAAAACCAGAACATTCAGCTCTTTGTTTTCTGTTCTGACCTTATCATAACTCTTCTCCAGGCTAACGTATGTTTCGGTCACTTCTTCCATTTTCTTTAGCTCATGCTGCAACCGAAATACTTCTGTGGTGAGCTCTTTGTTGCTCTCCAGAGCCTGGTCGTAGCGAGACTCCATCACTCGCAGCTCTTCTTGAAGGCAGTCATTTTCTTGGCTAGCATCTTCATATAACAACTTATACTTGGGAGATGCCTCTGGGATCCTCTCAAGCATCTTCAGTTTCTTTTTTAGGACAGAGACATCAAAAAGCAAGTCCTGCTTCTTTTCAGAGGCTCGGTCACAATCTGCCCGTAAGATCACTAGTTGCTGCTGAAGCTGACTAATCTGATTTTTTAGGTCCCAGGATTCAGTCCTGGTCTCTTCACTGTTTTCCAGCTCGGAAAGACTCTCCATAGAAGCTTCCGACTCTTCCACTTTGAGCTCCCGCCTCTGAGCAGAGCTGGTCCCTGTACTCCCCAGGTCCTGGGCGTCACTGTCTCGCAGATCACTTAGGACGCACTGCGTGTTTCTCCCATCTACTGGCTTCATTTGCTTTTGTGATGAAAATGGCTCCGTTTGTTCTTCAGAATTTCCAAAAAGCTCGGTAGCTGGCTCCTCTAACCAGGATGACATTAGTGACCCCGGCTCTAACTTTTGCAGCCTCCGCTGCAGTCTGGAAATTTCTGCAGCCATTGTCACATTTTCCTTCACTGCGCGTTCATGAGCTCTCTGCAGACTCAGGAGGACGTCTCCGTTTTCTTCCAGCAGCTGTTCCCCCTGTGCAAGCAGGGACAGGGCCCCATTTCCTTCTGCCTCCTCCCCTCCCACCTCCTGGTCACTACCCTGAAGCCCAGAGACAGGGGATGCTGCCTGCTGCAGGTCCCTGATTTGATCTCGGAGCCTGCGGATCTCTGCGCTCATCTCAGCCTGCTCGTGCTCCGCCTTCTCCCAGGCTGCTTGGTGCACGCTCTCCAGGGCCACGAGTTTGGCCACCATTTCCTGCTTCTCCTGGTCACACTCAGCATGCAGCCTCTCAAGCTGCCAGCTGGCCAGCTGCTCCGAGGCCCCCACTTGGCCCAGCACCTGCTCTCGGTCCCTCAGCTCTCTCTGGTGACTGCTCCGCAGCTTGCGGATCTGGCTGGACAGCAGGCTCTGCTGGCTCTCAGACACCTTCCGCAGGTCCCCCAGGTCCTGCAGCAATCGCTCCCTCTCCAGTACCATGCTGTGCAGGTGCTCTTTGTACGTCTTCTCCAGCATCTCCCTCTCCTGGGTCAGCACCAGAGAGGTTGCTTTCTCTCTCTGCAGTGTCTCCTTCAGCCGCTCCTGGGCTTCGGCGCACTCCTGGGCCAGCTCGTCCTTCTCAAACTCCCACTGGGACTTCTCCTCGCGATGCTGCTCCCCGAGGTCCTTCAGTTCACGGCGGTAGCGGCCCTCCAGGCTCTGCAGCGTGTGCTCACACCTTGCAATGACTTTCTCACAGTCAGCCTGAAAGCGGGCTTCTATCTGAGAGGCTCTTCTATTACACTCTGTTTCCATCTCTTCCCTAAATGTGGTCAACAGACAGCATTACTGAACCTGCTGCCAACTCCAGGAGCAAACGAAACACATTTCCCCCTGCAGAGAGGAGGCTGCCAAGCAAACAACCAAAATGCTCTCTACACAGGGTTTCAGCTTATTCCTTTGTGATCCATGTGCGCTGGCAGGGATCCCATTTTTGAGAGCTGAGACTGGCAGCCACAATTGGTATGGAAGACTTATCTCTCTCCAGGGGGATTAATGAACCAAATTCCCTAGCATATCTTGGCTGTACTTATGGATTTATAAACCACAGTCTTAAAGTGGGATTTCATATTCAGTGATCAAATGCACATTGACCTAACTTGGAAAAACTGTGTGTGTGTGTGTGTGTGTGTGTGTGTGTGTGTGTGAGAGAGAGAGACAGACAGACAGACAGAGACAGAGAGACAGAGACAGAGAGGGGAAGAGAGAGAGACAGACAGAGACAGAGAAAGAAAGGAGTTACTCTACTACTGAGCTATACTTCCAGCTCCTTTTATTTCTAGAAAGGGTCTCACTGAGTTGTGTGACCCTACTGTCTCAGTCTCTTGAGTAATTGGGATTATAGGTGTGCATCACCCCATTCCTTCCTTTTTATTACACATGTAATGTATGATATAAGCCACAGCAGTCACATTCATTCTGCTTGTGCTTATGTAATAAATCAGCACTGTGTCACTCAGGGCGGGAAACACCAGGGCCCTCAAATGTACTGGGATTTCACATGAGGAAGGTGAGCACGAACAGCCATGTCTGAGGGGAAATGAACTTTGCCCACAATCCAGTTTATAAATAGATTTTCTCAGAAAACAGGATGGAACTAGGAAGGAATCATACATGGAATCATTCTTTTTTCTTTCTTTTGAGACAAGGTGTTTCTATGTAATTCAGGCTTGAACTCACTGGGTAGCCCAGAGTGGCCTCAAACTCACAGTGATCCTCCTGCCTCAGCCTGAGATGAGTCTCATCTACCATGCCCAGCTGAGATCTTTTTTTTTTTTTAAATTTATTTATTTATGTGTGTATGTGTGTGTGTGTGGCCAGCTCAGCCCACCAGGGGGCGGGGCTGGCTGGCATGTGGCGCTGGGGGATTGAACTGCGGTCCCTGTGCTTTCCTGAGCTTGTTCTAAGTAGGTGCTTTAGACCACTGAGCCATCTCACCAGCCCCCCAGTTAAGTCTTAATACCAGGAATCCTTTCTTCCTTAAAGAACCAAGCAATTCTAGAACCCCAAAGCAGAGTAGTACGAACAAGGAAAGCTCTACAAGGACTCAACTCACCCCACGAGTCCTCTGCAGTCTGGTTTTACCAGGCCTCCTGCGCTGACTGGAACTTTAGGTGCCCCAGACAGCGATGGTGCCTGGGTTGCCCGGGTCCCTGGGCTTCCTTACCGTCCCTCCTGAAGTTCCCTCTGGTGCTTCTCCAAGAGCTCTTGCCTCAGCTCCTCCTTCTCAAGCTCGTGCTTCTCCTGCAGGTTCCGCAGCTGCTCCTGGTGCGCCCTCTCCAAGTCCTGCACCAGGCCTCGCACCCGCTCTTCCGTCCAGGCGCCGCTCCGGAGCCCTTCCCGCTCCTGGCCGAAGCCTTCCTCCGCCTGCCGCAGCCTGGCCTCGAGCTCCAGCTTGTGCTGCAGCCTTAGCTCCTCCTGCAAGCGACTCTTTTCCTCCTCAAAGGCCATCTGCAGCTGTTTGTTCTCCTCCTCATGCCTGCGACTGGCCTCCAGGTGTGTGTCCTTCAGCACCACCGCCTGCCCCTGCAGGTCTGCGACTTCCCTTCTCAGGTCACTTATCTGTTGCTCCAATGTGTGCATTCCACGCTCATAGTTGGCTTTCGTGGTCTCCTGCTCCTTTTCCCAGGTGACCCGGGTCTCGGCCTGCTGCTCTTCATAACGACGCACCTAAAGCCAGAGCACGAAACCACCACATGGTTATTCTAGCTCAGGCCATGGGAAGGAAGCAATGGGGACAGCAAGTACTTTTGTCCTACTTGAGGTATTTTTCTTCTACTTCCTAAGACCTGAGAAGACTTTACACATAGGTACCCTTTGACTTCCCATGATTCCTTTCCACATGCACACTGAGGGTGTTAAACTATATAAATAAGTTCAAGTATTTATTGAAGTCTTCAAGGGATTCTACAACTCAAGAGGGCAGAGTTGGGTAACACACAGTCCCCCTGGTATTCAGTGTGCACGGAAGTACGACAGCTAGAACACCACAAGGCAGAACATGAAACGTCAAAGGTAAAGGACACACAGCTACAATGTGACCTAGGGAGCCAGAAGAGAGAAAAATGGTATTCAAGAATGGCTTCACTTGATGTGAACACTGAAGGGAAGGAAATTTTCAAGAGGAAGAAAGAAATCATAGCGGCCTGAGCAAAAGAGGACATGGCTTGCTGGAGAAGAACAAACCACTCAGTCTGGCTGGAGGATCCGGCAGTTTATGACATGGACCCAGAGAAGACAGGGACCCATGTGGCAAAGGGCGGGCAGGCCAAGGACCAGAACTTGTACCTATTTTTGTTTTTGTTAGGCTACATCAAAAAGGCTTCTTTTGGTTTTATGAAGATGGCTTTTAGCAAATTGGAGATAACCACCTCCAAGCCTTGGATCCTATGTACATTTGGGAGAAGCCCTCTCAAGAGGAAAAGGCTTTGTCCTCGGCCTGAGGAAGTAGGTTTCTGGAGGTAACTGAACACGAGGGGAAATGCAGGGGATGTTGCCCTACAAGAAACAACTGGGAACATCTGTGCAAGTGGTGGTCTGAGTGCAAAGGAAGTAGGAAAGTGGACTGGTGGGAGGAACTCACTTGATCGTCTAGCTCCCGTCGCAGGCGGCACAAGTCCCTGTGGTGTTGCTCTTTCATCTGTTCGATCACCAGCTCTGCCTCAATGCTCATATTCAGCGGATTGCATTCTTCAGACTCGAGCCCTGAAAACACAAGGGACTCATGGGTCCTGCAGCAGGTTCCTTCACTAACCCAACCTGGCATCTGCAGAGGGGCATCTGTCTAACCCAGGAATAAGTTTCAGCCTGCACTGCAAGAGATGTGAACTACTAGGAAACAACAGAAGCCAAGAGGGCCCTTCTTTCTTACAACTAGAAATGAAGGTGAACAGACTCGTTCATGGACAGGAAGTGGGTCAAACCTTAGTAACCTTAAAAACGCCATCCTTCTGCATAGGGGGTGGGGCTAGGGGTGGAAAGTGTTTCTGAAAGGTGCTTGAGCCCTTTTTCATGTCACATGCATGTGGTAGTTTGCTCAAACCAACCAGCCTTCCATTCATGCAGCTCTTCCTCAGTGACACACTAGCAGAGGGAATGAAGGTGTCATAGGAAGGAATGGCCAGCCTAATGCTGCTGTGCTTTGAAGAGCTAACTTCATGGACCAAGACATCCAACCTATCATTCGACATTACAGAAGGCTGGGCATTGCCACAAGAGTTTAAATTATCATCTTAAAAACAAACAAACAAACAAACAAACAAACAGGTTCAGATTAGGAATCTGGATATAGCAGTGTGGGTGGAAGTTCTCCACTTGCCCATATGAGTTTACTTCTGTAACTGCCCATGAAGACTGAAGGGAAACAGAAGTTAAGGGTTGAATTAGCACAAAAACAAAAGTATTATGAGTACTATTATGCCAGGATCCCTTAGGGCAGGGAGATCCAAAATAGTCTTTTCATACAGGGGTACACAGGAGATGGGAGAAAGGTGTTTTTTGGGTCACAGGTCTACAAGCTGGGACTCCCCATCTTGTCCTGGGCCTTGTCTGCCTACACTGTGGTATAGTCCCAAGTGAGAAGTAACACATGGGTGTAACTCACCCCAAGATGGTGAGGCTTCATGCATGCATGAAGAGCACACCAGTGCATGAGATAAGCTTCAGAAATGGAACACGGTCAGTCGGCCTCCACCCTGACTACAGGGAGCAAGCCTAGAACCTGAGACAGGTCAGATTAAGGTCTCTTAGGTTCTACATTTTTACTCCCCTCTTGCTTCTACAATAAGTACAAGGAGGAGAGGAATAAAAGAGGCAAGTTATCAGGGGGGAGGAAAGAGCAGATGTGACTGTTGGATGGCTCCCCTTCCACCCTTGTCACTCAAAAGGAATGGATGGCCAGCCCTTATTTATCTTATTTGCCATTTTGCAGGAGCAATGCGAGCCTTTAGCACTGCTAGCACAAGAAAACCAGTTATGGATTCTATGGTCTGCGGCTGGCTCACTCTCCAAAACCATCTTCATTCCAGTGAGGCGCTCTCACAGAAAGGCAGGCGGAGCTGGGGGTGGGGTGTCAGTGGGAACTGTCTGAATTCTGGCACTCCAAAGGCCTGGGTTCTCAGATCGGAAGACTGTTTGTTTGTGTTAAACAAAGCAAATACTCTTGTGGGTTTGGTTTTCTTTTTTCATTCTTTTGTTGATGAGTATAAAAATCAGATAGAAATTCTCTTATAAAGACTTTAAAAACAAATGTGAAACTAGACCACAAGTGAGACAGCTCCGTAAGAGGAGTGCCCTCCCCGCTCCCAACCAGCCATGCAAGGTTGCCAAAGATTTGCAATTTTACACTCAGCCCTGGTTCCAAAAACATGGAGGGATCCTGAAAAAGACGGTGTCTGATGAGGCCAGAGAGATGGCTCAGTGGAATAAACGCTTCCCTGGCAAGCACAAGGGCCTGAGTTCAATCCCTGGTTACACACACACACACACACACACACACACACACACACACAAAAGATGTGTCTGACTGTGCTTACGCTGGTTGGGCTCAAGGCTGCTGTTGTTGCCACCAAGTTCTTCTGACAGTGAGTTCTTCAAGGGGAGCTTGAACACTCTGCCTTGAGCACGATATTCCTCCAGCTCAGACTCGAGTTCATCTACTTGGTCTTGTAATACCTGCAGTTTAAAAACCACCACAGGTCTTAGGTGTGACAGCAAAACCACAAGCAACAACAGCAACAGTATGTACACTGGACACCATCATTAAATTGGACGTCATCATTAAAAAATTTTGTGCTTCCAATAACATCATTAAGGAAGTGAAATGAACCCACTGAATTTGAGAAAAGTTTTGCCTGTTACATTATTTGTGAAAAGACTTGAAACTAGAATATATAGACTATTGTAACTCAGTAATAATAAACGCAAGGAACTCAATTTAAAAATGGGCAAAAGATATAAAGTTATTTCTTCAAGAATTTATACAAACCACCAATATAAAGATCCCAAGAAATGCAAATAAAAACCACAATGAGATGCCGTTTCACACCTACCAAGATGGCTAGAATAAAAAAGGCACACAATAACAACCGGTAACAAAGATGCAGTAGAGTAACTTGAACTTTATCGGTAGGACTGGTACAACCACTTTGGAAGAGATCTGCTACTTCTTCAGAAAGTTAAAAACAGACTGGCCATATCGCCCAGCAGTTTTACTGTGTAATACACATCCAAGAAAAATGAAAATATGCACACAAATTTTCTTTCTTTTTGTATTTTAGGGAAGGGTCTACAGGGTGTTCAGGGACTCACTACTAGATTGGACTCGTAGTGATCTGCCTGTTTACAGCCTCCCAAGAGCTGGGATTACAGGTGCATGCCACCATGCCCAATCTCTCACACAAATTTTCATAGCATTATGCATAATAGCGCCCACAACCCATAAGTCCACTAACTGACAAATGCACACACAAAAGGCGGCCCCTCCGCACAAACACTAGAAGGATGAAGCGCAGGTCATGCTACTCCATGGATGGGCCTCATAGATGTCATGCTAAATGAAGAATGCCAGTCATGCATCGGACACAATAACATTATATAAAATGCTAAGATGAAGCAAATCTAGAAAGATGGAAAGCAGACCCCAGTCACCCAGGGCCACAGAAGGCTGTGGCTCGGCGAGCAGGGGTTGCTTACACAACTGTGTGGATGTAATAAAAGACACCAAGTTGTGCAATTAAGTAGGTGAAATGCATGATATAGAAAGCTGTTTAAATGAAATGACTGGATTGGAGAAGATGGGGGAGGTCGTACTAATCCATTTTAATGATCAACCGATTAAATTTAAAGACATTTAAAGCAAATATTCTGCTTATAACCAAAAACCAGGCAGTAGAAGTGTTTCTTTTCTTTCCTCAAATAGGCATATGCAGTTCCTGAGAAAGCAGGCTAGAAATAACCTTAGAAAGAGGCAATGGCTTTCCTACCTCTGCATAAGTAATCTTTATCCAGAGTGCAGTCAGAACTCAGTTATCTTTACCTTGTCAAGCAAGTATTTTTGGTTTAAGGGGAAAAAATACCCTAAATTCCTAAGTGTAAGGGAGTTAATCTAAGAAAACAAACAGAGGTTACTCAATGCGAGTGTTTGTATCTCTCTTTTGGTAGGCACTGAGAATCATTTACCATGTCAAGAGTGATTTCTGCTTCATTTGCGTTGTGTACATGCTGAGAGCAATGTATTTGGAAGGGGGAGGCAATAGGCCCTGGGCCTGACTGCGGGTGATCACCGAGGGTCGCTCAGAAAGGCTCACTTTGCAATACACCATCACCAGGATCACGTATTTTCCTGGAAACCCCAGGAATTTCTGACCTCCATGAAAGGTAGCAGAGGTCCTTGTAGTTCGGCATGATGAATAATCATCTCACTAGCTGGCGCCCGAGTAAGTGCTTACATGTCCCTAGCTCAGTCCTAAGCACTTCACACATAGCCATTTGCTGAGTCTTCACAGCAACCCTCACTCAGGCTGGGTTCTCTTCCTTTTGTCCCCTGGATATGGAGAAGCGGGGGACCCGTGGGCTCAGGGGACTGCAGGTGCACCGCAGGGACCTGGGCTCCGCTCCCCGCACTCACCCTGCACTGCCGCTCGTACTCGCTCCTCATCTGCACCAGCCTCTCTTCTTGCAGAAAGAATTCAGCGCTACTGGGATCAAGGTCTCCGAACTAGAAAGGGAAGAGGGCAAAGCAGTCATTCTTCCCCCCAGCACCCCTCTGACCTATCACATACCAAATGGCCCGGTTTCTCATGACATGGAAGGAATGTGGCATTTAAACAGAAACACCACCAACCGGAAGCTGGGGAAGATGATGGATGTGCTTCACGCAGGCTGGGACCACCTCCAGAGCCAGGCAGTTTCCCTCGCAAGTGCCCCACTAAATGACTCCCCGCGAAAGGTACAACTTCCTTTAGGAAAGCACAGTCATTCCCTAATAAGAACGTTCCTGGCATTGCTTCTGTTCTTCTGAGTGAATGACATGTTGGGCAGCCTACCGGGGATCAGACATAGACAGATTTACCTTTTCTGCTAACACGTTTTCCAAATTGCGCTGAAGTTTGTTTGTCAGATTCTCGTACTCTGCCAGCTTTTCTGCATTTTCCAGAAGCTCATTTTCCAGACGACTGTTTTCCTGAGGAAATTTGGGGAAATTCAATGTGGCCGAGATGAAGAAATAAGCAAACTGTTTATACCATTTTATGCAAGGCATAAATCATTAAGAAAATGTGTCCATTAGGAAAGCTGTAACATAATTGGAAACACAAGTAAATATAACAAAGTTGCCATCTATCTCAGAACCCTAAGTCTGCCTTTAAAAAAACAAATTGTGTAGCACCCTACTGTCTAGTTTTAGCCACCAGCAGCCACAGGGAGGTAACTGAGCACATGAAATATGCCTAGTGCAAACCGCGCTGAGCTCTAAGTATAAAATTTATACCAGTCTTCAGAGACAACAAATATACGTAGCTCAATAATAATTTGGGGGCTGTGGAGATAGTTCAGCGGACTAAGTGCCTGCTTAGGCAAGTGCAAGGACCCGGGTTCGATCTCTGGCACCACATGCCTTGCTGGCCCCAACCCTGGGCGCACTGAGCCAGCCATTGAGACCAGGCGTGGTGGCGCATGCCTGCAATCCCAGCACTGGGAGGCTGAAACAGGAGGATCACTAGGAGTCTTGAGCTGAGTAGTGAGACCCTGTAACAAATAAAATTAAAGAATAAATTTTTATATATTGAATAAATTTCAAAACGACAAGGCTTAAGGAATACTAGATGAAATAAAATGATTGAAATGAATTCCATTTTTTAATATGCTACTTGAAAATTTGAAATTATGTATGTGTCTTATTTTTAGTATTCCACAGGGCAACACTACAGTAGACTACTGTAAGTGACATGAAAATACTCACAATATATAATCAAATGAAAGAAAATGGGCTATAATGCTTTCAGCAAGAGAATTCAGAAAACCTATAAAAAAGCAGGTAACTCTAACATTAATTTTCACTTATTGATTCTACAGTTTACATTTAACTTATAAATTTACTTTGGATTTAAGGCTATAGAATGTTATACAAGTTGTTCATAATTTATGTTTAAATTGTAATAAAATAATACATCAATTGATACTCATAAAGGTTTTTTTTTTTTTTTTTTTTTTTTTTTTTTTTCCATTTTACAGGCTCTGTATATAAGGAACCTTTTGGAACCACATTTGTTTAAAAGAAAAAAAACCATACAGACATGCCATTTGCCGTATTTTCTTCTCCAGCTTTAAAGGCTGATTGGAAGAATGATATTTTCAAAGTACATTTTGCCAAAAGAATACAGAGCCAATATATCTTTAATATATTCTAGTTCACACCCTCATATAGCAATATGGAGTAAAAAAGAATATACTTAAAGCATTTAAAAAAAAATACTACCCTCCCCTAATGTGCCAGTTCGATGACTCTAGGCTTTCAAAGTGAAGATGCTAAACTTAGATGCTACAGTAATGAGGAGCAATTTGTGTGTCCCTGGACCTGCTGTGCTTTGAAAATGGACAAATCAGATATTGCTTCTGACACAGGGAACACTGGGGACTGCAGGAGGGAGCAGACGTGGATACAGCTTGATACACTAATAAAGGTACTAGTTCCTAGAAACAGGAAAGTCAGTATGTGGGAACAATCAACTGATTTGGCCTGCAGTGTTGGGGAAAGCAGGGAAGGGGCGCAAAAGTGCTCTGGCCCGAGGGACAAAGGGAGAGGAAGGAAAGCGTAGAGGGCAGGGGCTGCCCTGCCGCAGGAGCTGAGGCTACAAAGCTGGGCCCTCCTTCAGCAGCCTTGGCCACCTGTACTCTGAGGGTATCAGCCTGATAACAGATCTTTGGAAAGGCGACTCCAATGGCCATAATGGGATAGGAGAGATGGAGAAAATGACTTTCAGGGACATACAAGAACCAGCTGATATGCTGAGCTGTAAAAGGCTCAAGTCAACAATTTCTGACATTGCCAGTCCTGCAGATAACCCACTACTGTTATGGACTACTGGACTATAATGGATTACCTTGCTGAATTCATGTACCTACAATATATGAATGGCAATGGAATACCCATCTCTGATAAAAGTAAACAAAAAAGGGGGATATAAATGAAGGACCATTTTGTAGTGGAAAAAAATATATCTGTATATACAAAATAGTTAGCATATAGTTACTTTCTCTTTATTCAATGAGAAGAAAGTTTTGAACTAATAGTGTTTAGACAAGATAGCATGTCAGCATCTTGTACTATAACTGCTACAAAGACAATAATATGCAATGTATTAATGATTGTAACTGTCCTACTAACCTGTTTTGAAACTGTCTCATTGCTACTTCTTTCTCAATAAAATTTATAAAAAAAGAATCAGCTGAGAAACCTCGATGAATTCAGAGCTCAATCAGAGGCTGAGGAAACGCAGAGGGTGGGCACAAATCGAAGGCACTGCAGAGCCACAACACAACTTAGAGATGGATGAGTGATAAAAGATGACATCAATCGAGATTTTTAACTTCTAGGACTAAACATCGTGTCAATGTAAATTAGGCAGAAAATTTAAGAGACGAAACCATTGCATGGGTGGGGAGTGGCGACTGGCTCAGTTTTTGATGTGTGGTGTTTCAGGAGGGTTTTATGATAGCAAGGGAAGCCAACAGTCCCCGCTGGTAACTTAGGAAACATAGTCTGAAGAGGGGCCTAGCAGTACCCTGTCATATGTGGGTCTTGACCCAGCTGGGTAAATGTACAATAATCCTCACAGTGTGCCAGTGGGGACATGGTGCCCTGCACAGCTGGGGCTTCCCAGGTGGAATCCCCAGCAGTGACCCAAACCCCAACATGAAAAACGCGATTACCTTTAACGAGAGGGCAAGGCGGTCCCGGACGTAGTTCTCTTCCGTTTTGGCCTTCTCGATTTCCTGCTCGAGTTCTAAGCGCTGCTTGCCCACCTGTTGCAGGATTTGCTCTCTCTCTTTTCGGAGCTCATTCTTTAAGGCTGCTATGCGCTCCTTGTACTCTTCATCGAGTTTCCTGGGAGGAGAGGAAATCTGAGTGGGTAAAATTCTCTGGAGAGCTCGCGAGGATCCACCCATAATGGAAGTTGAGTTACAGAGATGGAAAGCACTCTGAGAATACCCACTGTGAGCCGCCTGCCCTTAGACCTGGCCGCACCTAAATCTCAGCAGCCCTAGCTGGGCACAGCACTGTGGGAAGCTGAGGCAGGAGGATGGAACATCTGAGTTCAGTCCAGGCAATTTATTTTTTCAAAAAAATATTTATTTATTTATTTTTTGTGTGTGTGTGTGTCCAGCTCAGCCCACCAGGGGGCGGGACTGGCTGGCATGTGGTGCTGGGGATTGAACCGCGGTCCCTGTGCTTTGCTAAGCTTGTTCTAAGTAGGTGCTTTAGACCACTGAGCCATCTCACCAGCCCCAGGCAATTTATTAAGAGAAAATCTGTCTCAAAAAAGCAAAATAAAACATGCCAGGTATCATGGTACACACCTATAGTCTCAGCACTTGGGAGGCTGAGGCAGGGGGATCACTGCAAGTCTGAAGCTAGTCTGGGCTACCGAGTGAGATGAGGGCCAGCCTCAACTACATAGTGAAAGCTTGTCTCAAGAAGGCAAAAAAAAAAAAAGAAATATAAACAAAACAAAACAGAACAAAAATCATGCCAGCTGGATATGGTCAAAGAGGCAGACGGGTGCTCTGTGCTGGCCCTGCAGCTGCAGATGCCCTGCCCAGGGTCACAGGGGTGGGGACGGCGCCGGGGTCTTGCCCTCCGGGTCGCACCTGAGGTTGTACTCATTTCGTCGCTCTATGGCCGCATGGTGATCGTCCACTTCTGAAGCCATTAGGGACTTGAGTTTCTCGGCTTTGTCCAGGTCTGACCGGAGCTTCTCTTTTTCTCTGACCACCTGATCAACTCGTTCCCTGGCATCAGAAGCGAGCTGAGTTAATGAGGGGCTGTGTCTAAGCAACAAATAGACCCCAGTGAAGCTCTCCTGTGGCTGGCTTTGATGCAAAACCAAAACGACAACTCAAACCCTTCCCAAACAGAGAGGTGTTTCGTGGCTCCCTTCAAAAAGCTGCAGACCACTCGCAGTTTCTCACTTCCCTGCAGCGGGGGGCGGATCTGCGCATCGTTACGGGAGAGGAGCGTGACTGCTTATGGAATAGGACAGCCTCTGTGGAAGGCACACGAATGACCCACCAGCCAAGCAGGGAAGGGAACGGACAGGGGAGGCTTCCACTCAACTCACAGCAAATGCCGGATCTCAGCCTTGAAGCTGGCCAGAGCCGCCTGATGAATGCCATTCTTCGTGACCAAAAGCTCATTTTCAAGAGCCAGAGTCAATTCTGTCAAGTTGACACTCCCGTCAAGGCTGAAATCCAAGGCCTAGGAATCAGAATAAGGCATGAGGTCAAGACAAATCACAAGTTTTTTTCTTTGAAAAACAGGAAAATGTGAAGCTTGGGCAAATTGCAAGAACTGATACAGTCTAGGTCTCGGATGACTCTCTTTCTTTCTTTTTTTAATTTGTACGTATTTGCCACAGGGTCTCACTCAGTTTGGACTCACAGTGATCCTCCTGCTTTCAGACTCCCCAGTGCTAGGATTATAGGCATGTGCTACCACGCCTGGTCTTAGTGGCTGCACCTGGGGGTAGGGCCAAGGCAGCATGTGGTGTGGGAGATCAAACACAAACCGGGTCCCTCCACTTGCCGAACAGGTGCTTAGACTGCTGAGCTATCTTGCCAGCCCTTTCAGTTTCTTTTTTTTAAGTATTTAGTACAGGGCCTTTAGGGTCTCACTACACAGATCAGACTCAAAGTGAGTCCCCTGTTTTTAGCCTCTCAAGCACTGGGATTATAGGTGCATGCCAACATGCCCAGTCTCAATCACCTTTTCAGCGTGCCCTGGGGGTGGGGCTGGCACTGCACACTGGGGATTAAACCCTAGTCCCTTTGTCTGCCTAAGCAGGTGCTTTAGTCTGCTGAGCTATCTGGCCAGTCTTCTGTTTCTTTAATGAATGCTGACAATCTTCACCTATGTTTCTTCCTAAGGAAAGCAGAACATGGTAATTTGTGTTTAAAAAATACCATCTGGCACTCTCCCTAAACAGAATATAACACTAATCTTTACCAATGCAATATCAATGAGAAACATTTTTCACATCAATAATTTGGCAGTTAAAAACATGGATGGTTTTTACTTTCCCATGAAAAAGTTCCACGGAAATTAAAGGAAGTAGGAGTAGTTACATCTTGTCTCTGAGAGTCTGTGAACAGAATAATCATTAAAGAGAAATCAAATCAAATCACAGTTTTAAAACAACTGAATTTTGAACCCTTCTCGGATGTGCGATCTTTTGTCCCAGCTAAAGTGCCGTACCTTGAGGATCTCCTGGCTGTTCTCAATGCCCTCCTCTTGCCATGTGTCAAGTATTCTCTCCACAGATGCGTGGCCCATCCCATCATCCAGGCAGGAGAAGACGCGGAAGCCAATGGTACTTGTCATCACCGATGAGGTCGTCATACGACGTCCACTTTCATCAAAAGACTGGAAGAAAGAGAACTGAACAAGCTCAGGGGACCCCGGGCACTTCAAGTAGATGTGAAGACTGGAACTGGCTAGCCCTGAACACAAAAGACAGAATTTACCTTACACTGTTGGGGGAGGGAGGAGTCATACCCTGCTTTTGGTTCTTTAGTCAAGACTACAAAAACTATTAGAAACAATCATTCTGAGACAGTTATTTGGCATAGACAAGCTGTGTCTCTGCTTAACCCCATTTCTCTTCTGACCCTGAGCTGTAAGAGGCATAATCACCAGCCTTCCTAGCCTGTAATTTATGGTCATTTTCAAATCCAACTTTTCCTTCCTAAGAGCTGAGTCTTTCTTGTTCTCCTGTGTTTTGTACAATCTCCTTGGTCTGCTGCTTCAGACAACAGCTCGAATTGTTATCAATTATTAAATGGGTTCTTCTCACACAAAAAATGCTGTTTACATACCTGCATGGAGAGATGCCGCTTCAACTGTCTGTAAGGAGTAGACGCTGATGGTGGAAGGGATTTTCCATTTTTAAACAGACCATTGAAAAAATCCTCTACGCTCATTGTTCCATCAGGATCAAGATTATGAAATACTTCCTCGAGCATCTGGAGAAAAGTAAGCATGTATTTTATTAAAATTTTTTTCTTTTCATTTAATTCATTGGATACAGGGTCTCACTATGAAGTTTAGGATTCACAGTGATCCTCCTGTCTCTGCCTCCCCACTGCTGAGATTATAGGTGTGCACCACCAAGCCCAGTTTTGGCTGCTGGCACAGCGTGCCCAGGGTTCCAGGACTGGCGTGGCATGCACTACCGGGGATCGAACCTGGGTCCTTGTGCTTGCCAGACAAGGTGCTTAGTCTGCTGAGCTATCTCCCCAGCCTCATCATGTATTTTAAATCTCCTCTAAAAATAACACAAGACCCAAAGTGCACCTATGACCTACCGACATAAGCACCGCTGTGCATCAAGACCCCTCAAATATACTTATGGCCCTTTATTCTCACTTCAATAAATTTATTCCCTTCCAGTAATGATCTATCTTCTTATACAAACTAAATAAAGGTCTACTTTATTTTATTTATTTATTGTATTTAGGACAGGGTCTACAGGTTATACAGGGTCTCACTGCGTAGACCAGACTTGTAGTGATCCTCCTGTTTACAGCCTCCCAAGTGCTGGGATTACAGGTGTGCACCACCACACCCAGTCTTAATCACCATCTCAGTGCACCCTGGGGGCAGGGGCAGGTGCTTTAATCTGCTGAGCTATTTGGCCGGCCCTTACAAACAGTTTTATGTAACTTTTAGTATAACTTTTTTTTTTTTTTTTGGTACTGGGGATTGAACTCAGGATCTTGTGCTTGCCAGGCAAGCACTTATGCTGCTGAGCTATCTCCCTGGCCCGACCTACTTTAAACATTTCCATAATCTTATGAAATTTAGAAATTATTTTCTTTTTACTCCCACTCCTGTAACAGCTGATCTTCAATGCAGTTACATATTATTCTTGCAAATTAAAAACAAAAACAAAACAAAAAAAAAACTACTTAAAGACACTTTCCAAGTTTAGCAATAGAAATTAGCTTTATTTCTTGTAAAGATATTTGAAAAAAATATTTATTTGTTTAGTTAGTTATTTGGTACAAAGTCTTGCTATTTAGCTCAGACTCATAGTGATCCTCCTATCTCAGCCTCCCCAGCCCTGGAATTACAGGCATGTACCACCACGCCTGGATTCAGGCCAGCACACTGCGCCTGACGTTCCCAGGCCAGCAAGACGTGTGGTACCGGGGAATGAACTTGGGTCCCTGTGTTTGCTAGGCAGGTGCTTAGACTACTGAGCCATCTCCCCAGCCCCCACTGTGCCTTTAAAGTGTGTTGATTCTACATGATGTTTGGTTTATACAGAAGTTTTGAAATTGGTAGCCTAAAAGACTTTGTTCTGGGACAGACTGCAATGATCTAAAAGTCTAGAACCTTATTTAAAACAACACTAAATACGTTGGGTTTTTGTTTTAATGCATTAGCCAAGAGAGACAAAGACTGGTCAAGATCCAAGAGATATAAATACTAGGGACTTATGACTATTTGGGGGCAATAATCAGGTAGTTCTTAAGTACACATCTGTAGGCACACATCTACAGTCCCAGCATTCAGAAAGCTAAGGCAGGAGGACTTCCATGAGCTCGAGGCCTGCCTGGTCTAAAGAATGAGTTCAAAGTCAGCCTAATTACATATCAAGAACCTGTCTCGAAAAAACAACAAAACTAATCAAGTAGTTCTCATAGGGTAGGGAAAGGGGAGACAGGAGCATCACCCTATGGAGGGGTTGTCTGGGAAATAATGTGCTTCCTAACACCCCAAAGGGATGGGGAGGGGTCCTAACACCCCAAAGGGATGGGGAGAGGAAGGCAGGGCAGGCAGCACGAATCACTGGAGTCAAGAGACGAGGAGGAAAGGGGGAGGCTTCCTGTTGGAAGGCATCTACCTGCTACCCGGTGGGTACATTTGTTCTGCAGGAATGTGTGCCTACCGAGAATGAAAAGGAAACTTCTTGGAGATCTTATAAAAATGCACATTTCTGCACAGGAGGGCTGAGGAGGGGCCTGAGGTTCTGCACGCCTAACAAGGCCTCAAGACAGAGTGCAGGCCACTGGACAGAAAGGCGACAGAAGCAGCGACAGATCCACTCTTGCTGCTTGTTGGGTTCACCCTAGCACACAACTGGACTCCCTCTCACATAGGCTGACACCATCTGCTAACACGCCCTCTAATCATTCATATTCACTTCTTAAATCCAGACTACAGCTATGATTCATATCTCAAAGTTGATCTCACTCTTTATGCAAACGCTCAGCACATTCCCATTATCTCAAAAAAAATTTTTTTTTTCCAATTCACATCGATAGGAAACATCTGTCTCCACTTCAGAGCAGACTGGAGATGGTGGAAAGCTCTGGACGATGCAATCATTTCAAATAGAGAATCCTGTGAGCAAGTCAAAGGCGAGGTATCTGGGCCAAGAGCCAAAGTGGCCAAGATGGCAGCATTTCTGTCTTCGTCTCATCCACCCAAAGAGCACCTTCTGCAGGAGAAAGCGCCAGCACCATCAAAGCAAGCATTACTGGGATGAGCCAGGGATGCTGACGGAGTTCCCGGGGTGCCTTTCAGCTCTCTGGCCACGCTGTTTGGCCTTGCACCCTTGGGCGAATCCGTGCGGCTTCTGGGTCCTCTGAAGCATCCACCATCCGACCCACTTATGCTGGAGGAGAAGGGGCAGCCCACCAGTTACTTTTAACTGCAGCAGACAGATGCACAGAAAAGAATGCAGAGGAAACGAGCAGGTGGGCAGGAGCTGTGTCTGGAACTGGGGAGAGGCTCGCATGCCCCTTGACATCCCAGCCTGGTCCGCGGATGTCTGATTTCCTGATGTAGTTAAGAAACAACATGCTGGGGTAGGGGGTCCCAAAACAGATGCCCACAGAGCCCCAGGGATGAACCAGGCAGGACGGCCGGAGCGCGTGTGAAAGGGGCAAAGTAAGCCAGGTGCACACACAGCCTCTCGTCCTCCAGGCCAGCAGTTTCTCCCTGTCTGCAAAGCGGAGCCAAAGCCTTGGATTTTAGAAAGTCTCCTAAGCCTGGGCATGGTGGCACACGCCTGTAATCCCAGCTCTTGGGAGGCTGAACACAGGTGGATCACTATGACTCTGATCTATGTAGTGAGACCCTGTACTAAAACACACACACACACGCACACACACACACACACACACACACATCTACTTCTAAAGCATGTATCACAAAGTTCAATTTTGTGTTTGTTTGTTTAAAGCTCAATTTTGAAACCACCAAACAGACCTAACTCAATCACCTTTGGATAGATGCAGGAGTTTGCCATTCCTGCCCTATGGTTCTCCTCAGTGCAGGAGAGCTGAGGGCTGTCAGAGTCAGAGCTACACGCACGACCGTGATCACAGCAGCACGGCTCATCGCCGCTCGAGCTTGGAAGCAGCCTATACATCCATCAACCGATGCACGGGCAAAGAAAATGTATTTATTCACTAAGGACTACTACTCTGCCATAAAGAAGGATACACAAGTCATTTGTAGGAAAATAAATGTACTCCAAGACTATAATGCTGAGTGAAATACATCAGACATAGAAGCGTGAAGATCTCACAACTTCTAAGAGAAACTCGAAGTACACATAATTTTCCAAAAGCAAAATAAAAGACAACATGAAATAGGGAGATAGAACTTTTGGAAATGGGAGGGGGACCTTGGAATGGAGGAGAAAGGAAGGGTACTAAAACGAATTAAGCTAGGTGCAGGGGCTGGGGGTTCGATCCCCGGGCCTGCAGTGCTGAGACGGTGATTGAGACTGGGTGTGGTGGCACATGCCTGTAATCCCAGCACTTGGGAGGCTGTATACAGGAGAATCACTGTGACTCTGATCTAGTAGTGAGACCCTGAACACCCTGTAGACTCCTCCCTAAAATACAGAAAAATAAATAAAAGAATTAGGCTACGTTAAGTACACGAAGCAATTCCTCAGATGGATGTGAACATTACATGCTGTAAATGCGTACTCATCAAACAGATTAGGAAGCCACTGAGCTAGCTGTCCCCGCGGCACGGTGGGGAGGAGAGGCCTCCCTCCTCCTCGCTGCTGTACAGCGAGTGGTGACTCAGGCTCCAATTGCTCACAGCTGTACAACTGCAGGATTCCGAGCCGCCTGTTAAAAGCATTGTCTTGGGCTCCACCTCCTCAGTAGTTTCCAGTTAGTAATAAAAAAATACCACAGAATCCCACAACATGTCTTGAGGAGGTTAAAAAAAAACAAAAACAAAAACAAAAAAACAAACCCAAACCAACCCTCAGGCACTGTGTAGCAGCCATGTTCAATAACCAGCACCGTATTTCTCCCTGGACCAGAGGCAGACGATCAGACAGGCCTATCTTGGCTCGGGTTTGGAGGATGCGGTGGCTGACACGAAAGAAAAAGCAGCTCCCCACCAGTGGCTACCATTTACCCTGAGAATTGTCTTTAGATGAACCATCCAAGTTTGCGCGCTATTTCTTGACCAAAGCAACCCAAATGTCTGCGTCCTGCTCTGGTTTATAAATCAGGACGGACTTAGTTTAGGACGGATGTGGTTCAGCCATCACTGAAAAATAAGTCACCCTGAGCCATTAAATGATGATGGAATTCCGGCCACATACATAAAGGAGAAGGGGGAAATCTGCGAGCCGGGCTACTTGGAAGCTCTTTGATGAAAATCTCTTGGTTAGGACAAATAATACCACTTATCCCCTGTGTAAGAACACAGCGTGGTTTCAGACAAAATTATAACCAGAGATTCTGAGGCTACAACAGCAGCCCTAACCTCTAACTCTCTTCATCTTTACTTTTAGTGTTTTGAAAGACATAGCTTGGAGTTAACTATATTCTTATGTTTCATAGCTATTTGTGCATTTGGGCCTGTGGAGCGCTTCTTAATTTTTTTTTTTCCCCTGGAAATAGTAAAGTTCAAGCATCACCAAGTAAGACCCTGTTAGATGCACCCTCAAGAGTTTTCTTTATCTTTCTAAGACAACCGACCTACTTTTCTCCATTTCCTTGAGACTGGGACATGGCTGTGGTGCCAGGCCACTCCCTGTGACCCAAGCTGTCTTCACGCCTACATATGAAGGCAGCTGAGGTCCCACGCATGCCCTACGCATGTTCGCTTGCCCTACACATTGCTCAGTGTGTGTTCGCACCCAGGGAAGACATGAGAAAAACCTAGACTTATCAGCCTGGCCTTCCAACTCAGCCCCTACCCCTTTCATATCTGTGGGACTCTTGTGTCCCGTGTAGCCCTTGCTCCACATGTTCTCAGTTTATTCCAACTGACACCTCTAGGGACATGTGTGACACACAGGGGCTGCACTCTGCTGGCGTCTGGTGGTCTCAAGCGTAACAGCTTAGCACACGGCATTCACCCAGCGTCCGCCACCGTCAGCCCTGCTTTTCTGTAACACAAGTTTCTCAAACACAAAGTCTTCGAGTCGGACCTCTGAGGAGAACGTGCCCTCTCTCCTGAGGTGCAGGGAGCCATGATGTGGCTGTGGCCAGCTCGGCTCTCAGTGACATCATCACGCCGAGCCAACATGTACGGCAAAGCTCACCTCTCCATCCACGTTCTGCAAACCGTACTGCTCGCAGATGGAGACTAGCTTCTTCCGGTTGAGGTGGCCATCGCGGGTGATCCCCAGGTCCTCGCAAACCTCCTGCAGCTTCTCTTCTATCCAGTCTTGGGGAGGGGAGGACCCACTCTGTGAGGCGTTCAGGTCATCTGGATTCCAAAACCTTAACTGACCTGAAATTAATGCATACATAAATGTGACCAAAAGATACACTGAATATATATTTAATTGCCGTAAAAAGCACGTTGCCAGGAATCATCCCCACGCTCCTCACTCTCAATTTGAACCCACTGAACCCGTTGTCCTTGCCGCTTTCTGAAGCAGTGGCGGAAGTCCATTTCCTGAGTGTCTTTAGCAGGGCCGCCATGCGTTGATGTACTAAATGAAGATGTTCCCCTTGATGGTCCTTCTGACTTAGGGAAAGAGCCAGGGGCCTCACGGTGCTAGATCCAGGCAATAAGGTAGATGGGGGGGGGCACTGTAACATTTGGCCCTGGGGAGCAGAAGCCCCTGGAGTTTTGACCACAGCTCATAAGACATGAAAGAGGTCTTCCGGAACTGCTCCAGGAAGCAGCGGAAACAATGGGAAGCGTATTCAAAGCGAGGATTAATGGCAGTGTGTCTTTTACTGCAATGGATTTTAAAAACGTAAACATTCAGCACATAGGTCAACCACGACTTTTATGTTGTCTCCCAAGTGAATTATAAAAAAAAGTACCTATTTACAAAGAGAAATGTATTCTTTGAAAATAAATACTTTAAGAAAAAGACTGTATGCGCATGTTGATCCTCTTTGACTCTCCTGAACGTCTGACGTAACGGGACCGTCTGCAGCCAGCACGCACGTTCTTGCTCTGAGGCACCATCCCCAGTAAGAACTATGTCCTGCCCACCACCACACTGTCAGAGATCTCTTTAACTGCAGCTAAGGATGCCTTGAGCTCAGCCTGTCCAGTGATCTTACAAAAAGGGTGGCTGAGAGGGATCCCCAAAGCGTCTAAGCCCTGGCTCAACTACAGCTTCCAGACTGGTTTATTTATGCTTTCTAGCGTGAGCTCTAGGGCATCGTTTATTAAGAAGAAGAAGGAAATAATTTCATAATGAATGTCTCAAGGTCTGCCTGTTCCTAAAATCTTTACATATGATATTCTCACCTACAGAATCCAACTTGAAGGAACAAAAAATTGTAACTGGCCAGTTCCTAATTAGCTGCCTGAAAGATAAGGTCTAGCAGAAGACAAGAGTCAAACTATGTATTTTTTTATTTTATTTTAAATAATTATATTGAGAAACAAATAGCAATGAGACAGTTTCAAAGCTGATTACGTATTTAAGGGTCAAGACTATTCACTTTCTATTAAAAGTTCCCACTTCTAAGCCATCCACTGACAGAGCCGTAAAGCCTTCACTTTAATGTGAGATAATTGCAAGTACAATTTTGTGAGCCCGGAAGAGCCTGCGAGACAGGAGAGGAGCACTTAGTGCCATCCTTGTTATGTGCTGGCAGAAATTAAGCCGGATCACTGCTGTGCTTGTCCAGGCTGGAGAGAACACACTGTAATTACATCTCAGCGTGGAAATCCCAGGTAGGCGGGAAGCGGGCTGAGCCCCTGACAGCAGAACCCCTGCGCCCCCTGGCGGCCATAGGGGCCACATGTTCCTATGCTTTTCAATAATTTGAAACTTGCCAGGGGTGTATTCTCTTCTTTAAGATTTAATTTATTTTATTTCATAGAGTACAAAAAATGATTCAGAGTTTCAAAACAAAATGATAGTAATTAACAGTGGCTATTGTATTGTACATTGTTACCTTAATATGTCTGTGATTATACACACAGGCGTGCAAAAATTGATCAATTAGGCATTAGCTTTTCCAATCTTATTCAGATAAACTTGAGGCTTTTCTAGATAAATGGATGTAACTACAGAACATACTTGTAAGTGAAATAAATCAAACCCGCCTGTGTAAACATTGTATAGTCACCCTAGTGCCAGAGGCATGTTTTAATAGGGTACTATTTAGGTTAGCACTATTCGAAAATTAATTGGAATGTCTGTACAGAGAGCAATTAGTCTGTAAGTGGAAATTTACATCTTATTTGACATCTTTTGCATGCCATTAAAAACCAGGATTTTTACAACTTTGAACTACCCATGGGGAATGATTTTCTGGGGCTGCCGCTCCTCATGTGAATTCCCCAGCAGCCTCCAGCATCAGATGCAGGCAGGCAGGCAGGCAGGCAGGCAGGCAGGCAGGCAGGCAGGCAGGCGGTGTAGTGTTAGCTACCAATAACCCGGCGTTATTTTTTAGTAACGGTCTTCCGCACGCCCGCCCGCACGCACGTCCGCACGCAGCTCTTACCTTCTGCTTCGTATTCCTCACTGCCTTGCGTCTTCCAGTGCTAGAGAAGGCAAGAGACAGTTACTGTGCTTTGGAGCTTAGTGAACAAGAAACTCCTGGCTTTTGCTAGAACACTCTCTGGCTCCTAAATCATCCCTGGGTGAGTCTCAGGATTCTAGGCCCCACACTTTCATTAAGTATGGTTCTGTTCAGCTAAGCATCCAGGCAAGAGCAAACCTGTAAGAGGTGATCTTCTGTAGGGTCCCCCAGAGATCCATCCTTCCCCCACCTTTTCAGTAGTAAGCCCTATCACCACAGGAAACCAAGCCAAGGCAAGCATTCAGAATCCATCAACCAACGAGGATGGAAGGCATGCATTTATGACTTTGTTTTCCAGCAGGCAAATACAGTGTTCATTGTACAAAGCCTTCGGAACACAGCCGTGACTAGAACAAACATATTTCCTGTTGCAAGAACTATACAGGCTGGTCAAGACGAGCAGAGGAGAAAACAGGAAGTGTAACAGGGTACTGCTTTTTCTTGGCATGCAGGGGTGGATGGCTGTGTTTTCAGTGCCGGATGCTGAACTCAGGGTCTTATGTATGCTAGAAAAGCACTCTAATGCTGAGTCACACCCCTAGCCTCTGGGTAGGTAGTTTTGTTGTGTTTCCCCCCCTGTATTTAGGGTAGAATCTACAGGGTGTTCAGAGTCTCACCATGTAGACTGGACCCATAGTGATTCTCCTGTTTATAGCTTCCCAAGCGCAGGGATTACAGGAGTGTGCCACCATGCGCAGTTTTAATCCCCATCTCAGCGTACCCCGGGGGACAGGGCCGCCAGGAATGGAACCCTGGTCTGCCTTTGAGCTCTGCCTAAGCAGGTGCTTTAGTCTGCTGAGCTATTAGGCTAGCCCTTGAGTAGTGTTTTAAGTCCCATGAAATGAACATTTAAGATGCTGTAGTGGTCCCTAAACAGAATGCTGCCGATCTGACAGATCAGGGTAGGCTTTTTGCAAGAAGCAATATCTAAACTTTTCCCTGCAGCATGAGCTACACAGAGAGCAATGTGGACATAAGGGAAAGTTTTTATTGGCTGAAGAAAAGAGGCCAGGATGAGCCTGGGGTGCTTGCAGTCCAGTGATCAGAGGCATAACCCCAGAACAGGCAGGCTAAAAGCTTGAGTGACAGGCATCGGGCAACGGCTATTCCTTATAAATCACCCTAAAGAAGCTGACATTATGTGATCAAGACCAGTTAACCCCCAGAGCATGCTCTTTCTAGTGCATTCTCTCTAACACCGCAGCACACAGCTTTTGTACTGGCAAAATCATCCTGGTCTTAGGACATGGGTCAGATAAAAGCCTGACCCAGCCTGACTCCTCTGGCAGAGTACAGGACAGTGGGTCTCCTTCTACCCAGGTGTCACAGGTAGGTGCACAAGGGCTTTGACCTCTTGGGAAAAGCTGCCTAGGGCCTCCACTTCTAGAAGATTTCACTAATCAGTGAAGGACATCCTGTTGGAAAAGATGAGCCCCCCCCCCCCCGTCCTGGGCTGCAGTATCAGTGAAGATATGACTTTATGAACAAAGCTCCTTCTGATAACCCACCACCAGCCCTCTTCCCTGGGATGGCTGAACTGTGTAAGACTGGTCGATTCCTCGGAATCCTAAAACAGCCTAAGCAGTAAAGTCAGCCCTTGACTGCTGTCTCTAGAGCCTGGATTCCTAATGGCACCAGCTGAAAAACGCTTGGATCACACTCTGTCTTTCAGCAGCTTGTTCAGGTTGATTTCAAATTCTCTTTCAGACAACCAAAGCACGTCTACTTTATTCTGCACCTTCACTCCCAGTCCTTCAAACACCTCCCATCTTTTCACAGCTCCACATTTTACCTGGAAAGGTAGGTGGAGATAGCGCGGCTTCAGAGAGCTCACCCAAGCTGAACCCGCAAGCGCACAGCGCAGGGGGATTGTTCTCGCCAAGCAGAAGGCATGAAAAGGCTGTAACTCGAAATGGGTGAGTTCACCTGGGCCTGTTCAGGTCACACAAGGTGTAGGCCGAAACGGAACCAACGGGGCGCAGAGTGATTTGTGCTTGTGTTTTCATGACTGTCATTTCAGCGGCTCAAGAAGCCCCTCTTTGTACATACAGACCTACAAACAGACAGATGTGGGGGGCTTGGTGGGTTTAGTCCTCTGTGGATTTCCTCGTTTAGCATTTCTGGTCAGAATTCAACAGTTTATACAACTATATGTTTGTTTGTCATCTATCTGTCTGTGTATCTATCTCTTTAAATCCACAAAGCCCTACTAATAAACACATCCTGCCTGCACGTCCCTCCATATTTATTTTCTTATCCAACAGAGCAAGTCATGTAAATGTTCTTCCTAACTCAGGTGTCCAAAATTGTGAAAATTTATTCCTCAACTTTTAAATGCCCCAGAATTAAATTCATTAAACCCTCCACAACCAACAAGACAGAGTTTATGATCTAAGAACCACTGTCAAAATCAAACCTATTAGACCACAAGCAGGGTGGGGGATGGGAGAAAAGGCAGGAGATGGTGTCAGCCCTGAGCCCACACCTTGGAGGGTGAAGACACACACACACCTTCAAACAACCCCTGGGAACAAATTCCAAAGCTACAATGGATGTGCTGCTTTGTTTTTTTTTTTTTTTTTGGGGGGGGGTACATTTGCTCATCTATTTCTCAGCAATGCACTACGAGAAACAAGATGTTTTGATACTCTGTCTCCCAAGTCCCAGGCATTTACGGGATTGGGCACATGGGTCTCACTTGCCATCCAGGACAGTATTTGCCTGCTACCTTCTTTCCCCAATTCCAGTAAGAGATGAAATGTGAGGCTATGGTACAGATTTAGGGGCCCAGAGGCTGGGTGCTGAACCCTGGCTTACCTATCACATTGCCCTTAGACAGTCTCTCAGCCTTGTCTTGGTTTATCCATCTCTAAAACTGGAGTATAGTAGTAGAAATTTCATAGAGGTAAGGATAGTGATTAGAATTATGCGTCGAATATGACAAGCACTATAAAATTTTGTTATTTTTTATAAGATGTAAGTGGAGCTGTGGAGATAGCTCAGGAGTCTAAGAGCAAGGACCTGGGTTCAAACCCCAGTACTACAGCTATGCCAGCCCTGCCTTGGGGCTGATGAGCCAGCCACCAAAACCAGGAGTGGTGGTGCACGCCTGTAATCCCAGGGCCAGGGAGGCTGAAATAGGATTGCTATGAGTCTTGAGTTGCATAGCAAGACCCTGTACCAAATACATAAAAATTTTTTTAAAAAAATGTGTGTACAAAATAATTTTAATTTATATTTACAGAATGTTAAAAATTACTATTTAAACTGAAAGCATTCATTTAATGGGTAGACTCTACAGAGACTGTATAAATTTGTAAGAAAAATGCCAAGTCTACAGCAGAGGTACAAAGAATATAAAAAGAAAATTCACAGAAGAGGCTACAAAATTAAAAAAATTTGGGGAAAGGTTCATTTTGATATCAAAGTATACATCAAAACCAAAGAATCTGATTGTTCTCATGAAATTAGCAAAATATTTAAGATACAACTCCTAATTACCAGCAAGATTACAGTTTATTTTATTTATGTATTTATTTTTGAGACATGATCTCGCTCTGCAGTTCAGGCTGGCATTGAGCTCACTTTGTAGCCCAGGCTGGTCTTGAAATCGCGACATTCCTCCTGCCTCAGCCTCTTGAATGCTGGGATTACAGGCATGTGCCACCATTCCTGACAAGATTATACTTTAAAACAGGCCTGCTCCTAAATGTAACTGGGTATCATTCTTTTAATAATGAACAGGGCTTTGTGTATCAAAAGCAACAGAAATGCTCATTCTCTCTGACCTTGTGCTTTTACTTGCCACTCAAAGGCAATAAAATCAAAGAAAGAAAAAAATATGCAGAATAGTTTTTGCAGCATTCTTTGTAACAGTATTGAAAACAACTTAAACATTCAATAATGGGGCATAAAGTACAAAGAGGCATCGGAATGTAGTATAATTAAAAGTATAATTAAAAATTGTGTCAGAACATGGAAAAGCAGCCAAATGAATGTTAAGTGAAAGCGCACAGCAAGCATGCTTGTCTAGAATGTGACCTCTGCTGGAAAAAACAATCAGGAAGAGTCTAGAAGAAACAATAAAAATAGATACATTTCTGCTAAAGGGCTGTGAGATACGATTTAATTCCCTCTACTTTATAAATGCTGTTTATACAATATAAGCAGGCACCACCTTCACTATTTCTTCTGCTCAAATGCCCTCAAACTGTCATAAAGTAATTCCTGGGAGTAGGGGTGGGGAGGAGGGCGGAAGTCTTCTCTCTTCCAAGCCTTCGTAGCATCAGCAGCGTCGGCAACACCTGCAGTGCCTGCAACATCCTTCTGCCCAGCGGCCATGCTAAGCCCAGGTCCAGCGGGGGTGGGCAGTGTCACGGACGCCAGTGTCTCTGCAGCCTGGGGGCTGCGGACCGCGCTGATACGTTCATCTGAGACCTGAGACTGTGCCGCAGGGGAGAAATTCTGATATATGTTCAACCCAACAGTGCCAGGAATGGCACAGCCCTTATTCATTGTTAGCAGGTTAAAGGATAATATATTGTAAAATCTGAACATAAACTGGGCAATCCCAGCACTCAGAAGGCTGAAGGAAGAACACCATGAGTTTGAGGCTAGTCTGGCCTGTATAACAAGAGACCCTGCCTCAAAAGATAATAAAATGAAGCCAAATAAAATTAAAATCTGAGGGGCACAGTCTCCCAAACATTCTCTTTGGACATTTGACCAGAAATAAGAGATCAAGCTAGGGGCATCCTCCTAGGCAAAATATCCTTATGCTGATGGCCTTATTTCCATTCCAAGACCTCCTCAGCTGGCCATGGAGTTCACACCCAGACACGTCTGTGCTGGGCTTCTCCCTACCACCATCAAGGTTCTGTTCCTTCAGGAAAAAGGAGGCGAGTGCTTGGCATGGGAGGCGCACAGTTATTAAACGGCAAAGGGGTGGGGGGACTCAATTCA